CGGAGAGCAATAGAACTCGGATCAGAATCGAGGAGTCCCAGCGTTCAGTCCCCAGCTGCTCCGCCACTTAGGATGAAGATAACGACTGGGTGTAACAGGAAGAGAAGGACGGTTCCACAGCCGGAAGAGAAGGAAGGTTCCGGAGCCAAGGCGACGATTTCTGATCCCTGAGACTCTGGGGAAAGAGGAGCAGAGGGAAGTCAGAACCAGCCTGTACGGGTGACGGAGACCCCAAGTTCACTCCTTGTCTCTTATTCTGTGACCAGAGTCTCTGAACCTCCTCAAAAAGAAAGAACCTTCACCAGAGAAATCATGGGCTTCCTCGAGGGATGGCTCGGCAGTTAGAGAGTGCTTGCTGTTCTTCCAGGAGACCTGAGTTCTAATCCTAGCACCCACGTCAGTTACTCACAGTCATCTTTAATTCCAGTGTAACATTTCTGGCCTCTGCACACACATACACATATTTATTTGTAAGAGAGAAAGCCCAGAGTGGTGGTACTCGGAAGACAGAAACAAGATCTCTGTGAGTTTGAGGCCAGCCTGGTCAACAGAGCAAGTTCCAGGCCAGCTAGGGCTACATACATTACATAGTGAGGCACTGAGAGAGAGAGAGAGAGAGAGAGAGAGAGAGAGAGAGAGAGAGAGAGAGAGAGAGAGAGATCAGTGTTGGATAATAGCTACATAAGGCAAGGGGAGGCAGGTAACTGAGGTGTTAAGGGAACAGACAGCCCCAAAGGTAGGCTGGGCCAGTTCCCATCAGTATATTATACCTCAGGGAACATCTTGGACACAGAAACCCAGAAAAGAGAGAAGCTGTTGAAAACAAGACTCACCTTTAGTGCTGCTGGATGCTTCTGAGACTCAAGAGTCCCCTCGCCAGGCTGTTGGATGATGGGCAGTGAGCTGGAAGGGAGAGAAGGGCGGGGTGGCCATTAGCTGGAGATGCTCGCAGCCTGAATGAGCAGCTGATGGGGCATCCTATGCCGATCTGCAGGAGGTGAGGGTGGACGCAGAAGCGAGAGCAAGGATGGGGGTATGACTGACTTGACAGACTGACCTTAAAGAAGCAAGGTTCGTGGGGTGCAGCATTGTACCCTCCTGATGCATCCCCTGCCTGTCCAAACCCACTGGGAGCTGAGTCTGCCCACTGCTGGATGAGTTCACAGGCAGGATGAGTTCCTGCTTTATTGACTCATGTCTAGGTGACAACAACAACCACCACCACCACAACAAATCATTCTGGAGATTTCAGTCACTCAAAGTAGATACCTGTTGTCATTCATATATGAGCAGCAAAAGAATCTCTTAGTGGCCTAAGCCGGGTGGTACAATCTGTAATTCCAGCTACTCTGAAAGTTGATGTAGGAGGATCACAAGTTCAAGGCTAACCTGAGCTACAGAATGAGTTCAAGTTCAGCCTAGAGAGCTTAATGTCACTGTCTCAAAATAAGTACCAATGAAGGGGCTGGGGGCGTGGCTTGGAGGTGCACCACCTGTCTAGACTCTGTGAGTGAGGGGTTGGGGGTATGCACAGCTCAGTGGTAGAGCATTTGCCTAGCTTACACAAGGCCCTGGTTTCCATCCCCAGCCCACAGTTGTTTGGTTGGTTTAGTTTGAAATTTCTATTTCGCCTACATATACACACTGTCAATTCCGGTCTAATTCTACACAGTGACATTTTCATTGAGGGTCCACAATCTTCCCTATGCAAGTTGGCTTTGCGGTCCTTCGCTGTCCCTCTGACTATATGACCCCATATCTGCTACCCTTGCTAAAAGACTGACTTTATAAGTGCTGAGATCTGATGTGCTCATGATGCCTCCTAGGTGTTCTGGTCCTGAGATAATGACTTAATCTAGGGTAAAAGACTGCTTGTGTTCTGGAGCCCGGGCCTCTGGACTTCCTGGCCACCTGCTCTTCACGCCTCAGCAAAGCTGTTGACAGCCACAGCCACATCTCGTGGTCAATGGGTCATGAAGTAGCTTTATATCAGCAGCCGGGTTTGGGAACAGGATAAGAAGGTACTTGGTAGTTGCCAGGAAGCCTAATTCAGACCTTGTCAGCCTCAGGGATACCTTCTGCTCCCCAGAGAAGACCTTGCCCTCCAGAGGTCTTTGAGACTCCAGGGTTGTTTGAAAAGCTTCACACCACTGGCTCTGTGCTTTATAATTCTGCCCGGTGGGGGGTTTATTTTATTATTGTTGTTGTTTTGTGTCTTGAGAGGAAGTCTCAGGCGCCCAGGCAGTGAGGGAAGTTCTCACTCAGTCTGAAGTCCAGAGGGGGTAGGGCCTTTTTCTCGGGCTCCCAGACTCAATGGGGGGGAGGGCAGGAGAGAAAGAGGCCCTGACAGCACCCCATTGGAAAGAGACTCTTTGGTTACTGTAGTCGTTTGGCTGGATCGCTGGCTGCTCGACTAGCTTACTTGAAGAGGCGGGCGAGGTGGGAACACAAAGAAGCTCTCCACGGGAGATTAGACCACAGCTCGATAGTTGAGATCTTCTCCACGGTTCCCCACGGCGGGCCCCAAAGACAAGAGGAAATCCATGGTTTTATAAGCTTTATTTTCATGGCGGATGGTAGATGAATCTTGCTGTACCCCCACACCCCCTGGGTGGGCCTTTGGTTAAATACCAAAGTGTAAGGAGGAGGATCTGGGAAAGAATACTTAATTGGCTACGCCCCTCTGGCCTTTAGGTATCTCATTAATATGGAGCTCTCTTGAGGCCTGCAGTCACACCCTCTACCTGTGGAGGGACACAAACCTCTCTTTGGGAGGGGCTGTATTGCCCTATGTGACTGAAAGGCATGGGTCAATGGAGATCTTTGCCATGTGTGAGGAGCCTGGAATCCAGGGGCATGACCGAACACCTGCCGTTGTCCCATTAGGGTCCGAGGTTCAAGGCCTGTGCCCAACCAGGAACCAAGTTAGCCTTTCACAGTCCCACAGATGGCCTTGAACTTCCTATGCTAGGAAGGACCTCTACCTTCCCCATGCTAGGATTATTGGCAGTGATACCAGGCCTGTTTTATCTAGTGTGGAACGTAGAATCCTCGGACTCATGCCTGCGAGGCAAACGCTCTGCACATCAAGCCAAATTTCCAGCCCCCAGATGTGAATAGATATTCACCAAATGCTTGTCATAAACATAAATAAATAATTAATGAGTAGTTGAATATTGTTTAACTTCATTGTGAGTACAGAAGCCCCTAAAACCTTCTCATTTAAACAGTGGGGTTAGTTTTTTTTTTTTTTAAGCGTAAAAATAAATGTTTAAAAAAAAAATGAGGGTATCGAGAAATTACTCTGAAAGCATTGAACATTCTTAACTACTGAGACACCTCTCCAGCCCCGAAAATATTTATTTTACATTTGTGTGTGTATATGTGTGTGTGTACATGCCAAAGTCTGCAGACACCATTTAGGGGGGAGTCAGTTCTGTCCTTCTACCATGTGGGTCCTGGGGATCAAACTCAGGTTGTTGGGTTTGGAGGCAGACACCTTTGACCACAGAGCCTTCTTATTAGACCTTTATTTAAAAAGCATTTAAAGTCCCACTGGCCTCCAGAGAAGTTATGGGTGCTCACCTGAGATCAATTTGGAGACAAAGAGGAAATTAACATCCCCTTCTAATGATGGGAACTTGGGGTTGAGGTTTTAGGAGTTTTGCCTTCTGTGCTTGGCTTCTCAGTGTTAGCCCACAGAAGAGAAGACTAAACGTTACTCCCATGAACCACATTATATAGTACAGAATAACAATATCTCCATCTTGGAGAAACTGAGGCTCAGTCATGTTGGAAAACTCTGCCCAAGATCACTCAGCTGGGTAAACAGAAGAATCAAGATGTGCACTAATACTCAGCCCGGCTGCAAAGCCAATATGCTTTCCCAGAAACAAAACGAACAGCTCCTGGTGGTGCAGGCATGTCATACAGCTATTTGGGAGGCTCAGGCAGGAGGATTTTTTTTTTTTTTTTTTTTTTTTTGGTTTTTCAAGACAGGGTTTCTCTGTGTAGCCCTGGCTGGCAGGAGGATTCTAAGTTCCAGAGCTACAGAGTGAGTTAAGATTCTATTTCACACCGGGTGGGCGGTGGTGGTGGTGCACGCCTTTAATCCCAGCACTTGGGAGGCAGAGACAGGCAGATTTCTGAGTTTGAGACCAGCCTGGTCTACAGAGTGAGTTTCAGGACAGCCAGGGCTACACAGAGAAACCGTGTCTCAAAAACCAAAAGAAGAAAGAAGAAGAAGAAAAAAAGATTCTATTTCACAATAAATAGGAGGCCAGAAGTATGATTCAGTTATAGAACTAGAATCCCCCAGTGAGGGGCTGGGGGCGTGGCTCAGTGGTAGAGCCCCTGCCTAGAATCCCCCAGTGAGGGGCTAGGGGCGTGGCTCAGTGGTAGAGCCCCTGCCTAGAATCCCCCAGTGAGGGGCTGGGGGTGTGGCTCAGTGGTAGAGCCCCTGCCTACTTTAAGGAAGGAAGTGACTCTAGAGCACTTCCTCAGTGTCTTAGTCAGGGTTTTACTGCTGTGAACAGACACCATGACCAAGGCAACTCTTACAAGGACAGCATTTCATTGGGGCTGGCTTACAGGTTCTGAGGTTCAGTCCATTATCATCAAGGCAGGAGCATGGCAGCATCCAGGCAGGCATGGTGCAGGAGGAGCTGAGAGTTCTACCTCTTCTTCATCTGAGGCTCTAGCAGCCTCAGGACTGGCTAAAGCCCACACCCACAATGGCACACCTAGTCCAACAAGGCCACAAGTCCTGATATTGCCACTCCCTAGGCCAAGCATATTCAAACCATCACACCTGGCATGCATGAAGCCCTAAGTTGAATACCAACGCTGCAAGACAATGGCGCCCCCTATGGACTGATTTGGTCATGAGAATACCGTGAGCCTCTTCCCCTCCCTCCAGGCTCCAAGAGGCCATCCCTGTCTCCAGGATTCCAGTACAATCAACACCAATCACCAACACAAAAGAGTTCGTATGACAGCTGTGCCATTTTTAATATGAAGCATTTATTGAAATATATATATATATCTCCATGCCGTTCTATCTGCTCAGCATCCAGGACCCCTGAGGGAAGGCACCACCTCCACTTAAGGTCAGACTCACTCATAGACATCTTTGTAGGAGAAAAGCCAGCTGGGGACGGTGCCTCTTGCTTCTTTATTTCTGCCCTGCCTGGAGATTTCTCTCCAGGGCCAGAAAGTGGGTGGTAAGATTAGTGAGTGGGGTAGAGTATCAAGGGGTCAGAGAAGAAGAGACGTTAGTGATGGTCCCAGGGGATCACAGCAGGAACACATTCAGATGAAGTGAGGCTCCGAGTGGCGAGGATGGTGGCAGGTGCCCGAGGCTGGAGAAGCAGACACTGTACAGTGACGGGGGAGGACCACCAGTGCAGAGAAGGCCGGCTAGGTCTGACCAGACAAGTTTTTAGCTGACCATGCGGGCATGCGTGCCTGCATGTGTGTCCAGGGAGCTGCCTGTACCTTAGCAGCTGAGCCGCAGCAGCTGAAGAAGCTGTAGTCTTCTTTAGGCTCCAGACCCTGCCAGTGCAGCTACTACCCACCTCAGTGCTTGAGGGTTACATATTCTACGTCTTCCTTTGCCTGGGGCCGCTTACCAGCCCCAAACTGAACCAGCTCCGAGTAATGGATGCTGTCATCCTCGGGGCAGCTTGGACTTACATTCTCATAATCACCCTGCAAAACACGTGAAGGTGAGGTGACCAGCTTCCCTCCATTCATTCTCTTTCAAGCCTTCTCCCACTGGGTCCCCAGTGTCCAAACGGGGACATCTTGTCTACAAATGGCTATGCTGTGCCTCTTAGATACCCAGGTACCTGTCCTGGCTCCTACTTTTGCCCTCTGCCTGGGCAACTGTGGGGTCTGAGTGTGTCCCCTGTGTTTCTTGTGTTGGAAATGCACAAACTGTGGGGTCTGCGGGAGGTGACTATGTTGACGGATTAATAGGTAATCAAGGCAGAGATTGTTTTAGGAAGTCAGGTTCTCTGTGACATATGCCCTAGCTGTGAATGGTTTGTGTCACTTCAGGGCTCTGCCATCACCAGATACAGCTCCCTGGTCTTAGATTCCCAGAACCAACCATGAGCCAAAATAAACCTCTTTCCATGATAAACCACTAAGGCTTGGGTATTCAATTATAGCAATGGAAAATAGACTTAAGACTGCCACCGTTCCCAACTTCATTGTCTGCCATGTGTGTCCCATGACCGGCTCTCAATTGAGACCCCAGCCCCCCTTCCCCCCCCCCCCCCGCTTTCTGTAGCTCTGCCCTCTTACCATATGCTTCTTCTGTAGCACGGAGTAAGTGACTGTGTCGTTGTTTGGAGGAGGATCCTGTGTTGCTGCGGTCCCTGCGTCTCTGAGAGAATGAAGAGAGCTACACAAGAGCTTCCCCCAGCAGCACCTCAGCCCCTGCCCCTTAGGGGAACACAGCACCACAGTAGTAGCTAATGAAACTGGCTGTGTGGATGTATCACAACACAGTCAACCTGCGATGCAGCCTGGCTCCGGACACCGGCTTCTGAACTAAAGACACAGGTCCCTTCTGAGGCCTGTTACCTTGTCATGACGCAAGAATGAGGGAATGACTGTACTGTGGAGGCTGGCACAGGCCTGGCACAAAGAGGGCAGGCTGGGACACACGGTTTTCCTCCCACGCCCCTTGGGAGTTACAGCTACCAAACTCCAGTACCCTCCTCCATATCCAGCGCTGTGCGTTTCGCTCTCTGGAAAGTGCAAGATGGCGTAACTAACGGTGTCATCCATGGCCGGATTGTAGCATCCCTGGGGTTGGGGGCCTTCTGAGAGAGGGGTCCTTCTAGTCTGGAAGATGCAAAGTGGAAGCTGTGTCTCTCTTCCCTGACTCCATGCCTTTGACCCCAACAATTCCCTGGAGGCTTTTTTATCCAACAGTATCTTCTCCTACAGGGAGACTACAGAGGCCCATGAGTCCTCCAGCCCTTTTCTCATCTGTCACCTTCAAGGGCTACCCTGGGTCTCATGTTCCTCTCGTCTTACCTTTTTGTTCCTCACAAAAAAGCTCTGGCTACTGGAATTTTCCTGAAGCCCCTGCTGGCTCTGGCTATGCTTCCATCTAAGGATGAAGGGGTTTGTGAGGGCGGGTGGATATGATCCCGGAAGGGTGTGAGCTGTGGGCTGTGGGGAGGGGGTGGGAAGAGGAGGGGGCAGTGGATGGGGCTTACTTTTTTTGGAATTTCATCCCCCAGATGGCCAGGATGCAGATAGCCAGGCAGAACCCTAGTCCCAAGGCAACCCGCTTGCCGATGGTCTCTGGACTGTCTGGTGAAGAAAGCCAAACAAACAGGCTCACTCTGACTTGTGAAGACGACTGAGAGGATACTGTCCTTCTCCCTTCACGAAGCTCGGTCCTTTTTGCCTGCAGATCTCCTCCACATATGGGAGAGTGGTATAGAAGGGGATGGAGAAGTTGTCCCTGTCTCCCCACCCCTGATAGGAGAGAAGAGACAAACTTTTGCTCCTAGCAAGAGCTACGCCACAGTCAGCTCTCATAGAAAGCCTGTGACCCTCACAGTGGTTGCTGCCATGCAACCCTGAGAACAGTTGGATCAGACAGTCAAAACTTAAAGTGCGCCCAGGTGGACCCAGCTCCACACAAGCTTGGTCCCTTGCTTGTCCTGGCAGGTGTGCCCACAGCAAGGGTTTCTGTGTGTCTCTACCTCGAAGAGGGTGCTAGGGAGATGGGACGGGTCATTTGAAAGAGGCAGGGCACAAACTAGGCACGATGACTCCTATAATCCCAACACTCAGGAGGCAGAGGCAGGTGGATGGATCTCTGTGAGTTTGAGGCCAGCCTGCACTATAGAGCAAGTTCTGGGACAGCCAGGACTGCACAGAGAGACCCTGCCTTGAAAATCAAAAACAAGCCGGGCGGTGGTGGCGCACGCCTTGAATCCCAGCACTTGGGAGGCAGAGGCAGGCGGATTTCTGAGTTCGAGGCCAGCCTGGTCTACAGAGTGAGCTCCAGGACAGCCCGGGCTATAAGAGAAACTCTGTCTCGAAAAAAAGAAGAAAAAAAGAAAAAAGAAAAAAAAAACCAAACCAAAACAAAAACATTAAAAAGAAAAGAACTAAGGATCTTATCTATCAAGGGTGAGATTGCCATGTAGAGGAAAAGAGGAAGGACCGGGTGACAGGGGGACTTTCCACTCAGAAACTACTGGTCACAGGGTGTGCTGGACACAGGAGAAGGAAGAGGGAAGGGACTGCAGGTCCTAGGACAGGGGAGGGATCCAAGGGAAGATGGCAGGGGGGACTTACAGTAGACAGTGAGGGTGCTGGGTGGTGACTCTCCTATGCCTAGTTCGTTGGTCCCTTGGCAGCGGTAGGAGCCCGTGTGTTGGACCCTCAGGGGTTCCAGTCTCAGTTTCTGGCCCGAAAAGTGGAGGTCTTGGCCACTGGCATCAAACCAGATGTATTTAAAGATGGGCGGATCAGCATCACTCTCACAGGACAAGGTGACCTTTTTCCCCTCCATCACTCTGTCCCCGGGGCTGATGGACACACGCAGCCTCCGAGGAGCATCTGTAAAGGAGAATCCGAGTCAGGCCGGGGCAGGGTCACCTCATCATTTTCATATTTAGCCCCGACTCCAGCACTCACACAGCACTCGGAGGCTCCAGGCCGGTGACGCGGTCTCTCCGACGGAGTTGCTGACCGTGCAGTTATAGTCTCCAGAATCTTCTGGAGAGATGGAGCTGAAGCTCAGGTCTCTCCCTTCCTGCACAAGACTCCCATTCTTCTTCCAGAAGAAGCGGACCTCTTCAGGGTTGCTCCCTGAGAAGCCGCACCGGAGGAGGACACTCTGCCCAGCGCGGATCTCTGATGCGGGGCTCATCTTCAGTACCTTCACGGCTCTAGGGGCGTCTGCGGGACCACAGCCTCAGGTGATGTTTTAGCTTTCTTCCCTTCTTGATGTTCCCAAAGCTTCCTGTGCCCTTGATTAGGACTTGCCATCTCCTTGGTCTTGAGCCCTATGTGTCCTCCCTCAACCCTCTCTTGTGGCCTGTGGTCCGGGTCCCCCATCCCCTCACTCTCCCATCCATATATCTCAATGTGAACCCCTCCTGGACACCCCTGTCACTCACAGTGGACATTCAGGCTGACAGGAGGGGCCCACGAACACTTGGGGTTACAGGCGGCACAGCTGACGGGCATGGAATTCCACGTCACTTTCTGAATCTTCAGCACTCCGGGTGTGAGCTCACTCCCGGAACCTTGAGGGCTCCATTTGTAGTAGGTGACATCTGGTTTGCTGGAGTTGTACCTACAGACCAGAGTCACACTGTCTCCTTCCCGGATTGGTGTGAAGCTTTGAATCACCGTGGTTACTGCCTTGGGAGGGTCTTTGGGTAGAATGGAGAGGCAAGCAAAGAATGATTACTTTTCTTTCCCTTTGCAAGCACCAGAGATCAAACAAGAGGTAGGTCCTGCACGGGCTAGGCAAGAGCACTACCCTAACCTATCTTCCTTTTTAAACTTTTGTTTTTGAGTCACAGTCGTCTTAATTTGCACAGGCTAGCCTTGAACTTGTGACCATCCCACCTTAACCCCTGAATAGCTGAAGTGACCAACTTGCAGCACCCTGGGCCAGTTACAAGGCTGGTTTTCACAAAGCCTTTTCACAATGTCCCTGAATGAATCCTCTCCTGCTCCCTCTTGCAGCTGTGAGGCACATATGCTGTTTAAAGCTATGTAACTGTGGCCTGTAGGCCCCCAGGCACCAAGCTTTTCAGAATCCTCCCAAAGAATACCCTTAGAGCAGCCATTGGTGTGATGCTTAGCTACTGCTGTCCAGATGTCTAGATGTTCAGAGTATGGGTGGCCCTGTCTGTATTCAAGCCACTAGTTGCCCAACAAACAAGTCTCACTATCTTGGAAGCATCTCCAAAGCAAGCTGGGCTATGCTAAAGAATGCCAAACAGTGGGGCAGAATGATGAGGTAGTCCCTCTGGATCTCAGATCTCTCAGGACTTGTTCAGGGCCTCGCCCGTTGCTCCTGGCTGGGAAGTCCTAATAGTAAGCAGGATCTCACATAACCCAGGCAGGCCTCAAACTTGCTATAGAGCCAAGATAACCTTGAATTTATGATCCTCCTGCCTTCGTGTCTTAAGTGCTGAGATTTCAGGTATGTGCCACTACATTTGTTTCTTTTATGCAGTTGGGAATTGAATCTAGAGCTTCATGTGAGCTAAGCGTTCTGTCAACAGAGCCACGCCCCCAGCCCCTCACTGGAGGATTCTAGGCAGGGGCTCTGTCACCGAGCCACAACCCCAGCCCCTCACTGGAGGATTCTAGGCAGGGGCTCTACCACTGAGCCACGCCCCCAGCCCCTCACTGGGGGATTCTAGGCAGGGATCTACCACTGAGCCACGCCCCCAGCCCCTCACTGGGGGATTCTAGGCAGGGACTCTACCACTGAGCCACGCCCCCAGCCCCTCACTGGAGGATTCTAGGCAGGGGCTCTACCACTGAGCCACGCCCCCAGCCCCTCACTGGGGGATTCTAGGCAGGGGCTCTACCACTGAGCCACGCCCCCAGCCCCTCACTGGGGGATTTCTAGGCATGAGCTACCAC